TTGTTGGTTGATTAGTTTGGCTGTCAGCTGGTTGGTCAGGTTGTTGGTTGGTTAGTTTGTTGGTCAATTAATTGGTTGGTTTGTTGATCAGTCGGTCAGTTGGTTGTTCAGTGGATCCAACTAACTGACCAATCGAATTTTTTATTTTTTCTGGATTTTTAGTTGATTTTCTGTCTTTCTTTATTAAAATAAAATCATCATATAAATGAAAAACTGTTCATTTTTTCTAAGTGAGCAAACGTAAAATCAGCAAAGGATCTAATAATTCTACCTTTTCTTTGGTTGTATGAGTGGTCTTCTGGAGTTCATGTTGTTTACCATGAGATGTACTTTTAACCTTAGTAAAGTAAAGATAATTATCAACAAAAGTTAAAATGAACAGCTTTGTGTTTTTAGATATTTTACTTGTCAAACTGAGAATGTTGCTACTCACAGACAGGACAAAAGTTGTTCCCAAGAAGAAAATGAATGACAAGCAGGCCCTCATATCTGAAAAAACAAATATATGAAATTATATTAATTTTCTAAAAGTTAATGCAAACAAAATGTATTTGAACTCACTGCAGAGCTGAGTGTCCGTGAAGCATCAAACGAACAAAGAAGTGAATTTGTCACATCATGTTGAAACCAAACAGGCTGATGCATCTGTCTGCAGCTGGCACGTTTTGTGACAGTCGAAACTGCACGGGCCTACCATGTTGCCACAGTTATGGGCCTCCGTAAAAAGTCACATTCATTCCTAAAGTAAACATCAGAAGCTACCAGACCAGAAAAAAGTTGCCCGAGTCCACAAACTGATTCCCTGAACGGAAACAATGCAGACATCAGTGGAGCGGTCCAGTAGAAAAAACAACTTCACGCTTCAGCAGAACAGACCTGATGGACTTGTGGCCTTTAAAATCAACCAAAAGCATAAAATTACTTTGATTCCTCAAATTTAGAGGTACATTTTTTCACTTGATCATACAGAAGGCCTCCATGATCTTTTTGGAAATGATGAAATATTATGTTGTCCATAGTCCAAGCATGCTGCATGGAAGTTTGTCTGTATTATCTTTAAGATGTTAGTTCATCTCAAGATAAACTGTGCTTACGGTTTGTTCTGAAGCATTAGGAACCAGAGCGTGACTTCCAGGGATGTAAAAAAATCAAATTAAACTAACTTTCTCAAATGTGGCTTTGTTGTTCTTGGACCAACAGTAACTGCACGCTCTGCTCTGCAGTTCCAGTTCAGATTATTTTAGCAGACAAAAATGTATTTGCTTTTGTTTAAACTGCAATTAAAAGTGATGCAAATTATTAGAATAAGACTTTACCTGTTGCTGGCAGTACGGCAATGAGAATCCTGCAGAAACGCAGCGCAGACGCCCGAGTGCAACCTGTGAAGATGTGCTTCTGTATTCAAGACAGCACCCAAGCTCCACACAAACTGGCATCCAGCACACACACACACACACACACACACACTTGGGGGGGCATTAACCTGGGAGGGTCTTTGGGTTGCAGAGACAAAGGGAGGCACAACGAGGTTCAGTTCAGTCCTCAAAACAAAGAGTTTAAAAAGAGTGTCTAAAAAAATTACAAACTAGATTATAAAAGTTTTTCCTCACATGAAGATGTCATGGTTAAACTGCACTTCCTGTGCATTAAAATAAAAACTAATCAATATTGCTGCATAAAGTTGTCCACTAGATGTCGCTCCCTACAAGGTTGAAGCTATAAAAAACTTTATTTTCTTTTTTTCCCCTAAAACTCACCTGTTCCCCTCCCAGGACTGGAGCTGAAAGTTTCATCCCCATCATTTGTAGAAAACGTGCCTCTGATTACCTCAGATACCAAAGTGTGTTTATGGTAAAGAATGTGTGGGGGTTGAGGGAGAAACAGCACTTTACACAAATACTAACAATTTTAGACGTTCAGATGAGTGCGTCTGGGTCCGTGTAAACACCGAGGCCGTCTGTGGAGAAAACAGAGCGTCACTGAGTCAATAACTGGGTGTATCAGAGAATATGATAGAAACTGAAGGACGGTTTGTTCCAAGTGTTTTCAAGCAAAGCTTAGACACCGACAAAAAGAAGTCGTCACGTTTTGCTTCTTGATTCAGTTGAAGACGACTGAACTGATCTGCTTCATCTCACCTGCTTTCTGTCTAAATATTCAGACAGACTTTAGTTTCTGCTGCTCCTCGTCCTTAGTGTCTCTTGTTCACTTTAGGTTTTGTAACCTGGATTTCAGCAACTTGGGTGATAAATTTACATCATTGCGTGTCTTTATATCAAAATTCATGCTCAATAATCCAGGTCAAAATCCAACAGTGTTTAGTTTGGTTATCTGGACGGTTGCTTTCTTTTTTTCGCTTAGTTGTTTCGTCCTTCATCCAAAGGACTTCTTCAATCTGAGGAGCCGCAAGCAAAATGATTCCCCTAAACAGCACATGACCTGACTGAATATTGTTGGATTTTTACCTGGATTTTTGAGCATGAAATTTGGTGTTTTGAACCACTTTGGCATAAATGCCTCAGAGGAGATGATGGAGGAGAGGACGGGCTCCAGAGGCCATCTTAGCACCAGCAAACTGTTTTGTTTTGTTTTTTTCCACTATGGTGTATGCTGCTTGGGGGAATCCGTTTGTTTGGTGGCTGGCTCCTCAGACTGAAGAAGTCCTTTGGATGAAGGACGAAATGTCTCAGCCAAAAAAAAAAAAAGAGAAAAAAAAACATCCAGATGACCTGACTGAACATTGTTGCTTGTCTTTACATTTGCACAAAAACAAATGTGCTTCATGCAATCAAAAGCATTTAACAATGTACAAAACAATAAAAAATAAAAAGGACTCAGTTTAGGGACTTCATCTTTCTAGGTTTGATCAATTAAAACTAGTAATAAAAACTGTACAGACAAATGCACTTGGGGTTTACAGAGATTTGTAACTATATTTCCATTCAGTCTTGATGAACCTCTTTCAAGGCAACAAATAAAATATAATGCAAGTTTACATTCAAAACTATTTTTTCCCCTAAATTTCTTCATATTTTGAGCAAACACGAGGAAGACACTTATCTGTAATTTACTCTAAGTGAATCATTGTCAAAACATTCATCATTTTTTTTAAACATAAGAAAGTATTTCTTATACAAACACTTAGTGTTTGTAAAGAAACAGACACACCAACCAGTATCATAACGACTCTCAGCTACTACCACACCTACAATGATGCTTGAAAGTTTGTGAACGCTTTAGAATTTTCCATATTTGTGCATAACTCACACTAACAAATATGTAATATTGGATCATTTTCCTCAATAAATAAATGACCAGGTATAATATTTTGTCTCATTTGTTCAACTGGGTTCTCTTTAACTACTTTTAGGACTTGTGTGACAATCTGATGTTTTAGGTCATATTTATTCAGAAATATAGAAAATTATAAAGGCTTCACAAACTTTAGAGCACCAGTATCTTTAAATTTGACTGAGAGGTATACTGTAAATGTTTTTTGTGCTTGGTAATATTGATTAGCTGTGGCAGCCATTCTGCACTGAGTTAATCCTAAAGGTAATCAGTTGTAGAAAATAGAGCCATAACTTTCTGAAAGGTTTCATTTGTTCCGCGATTCATATTTGAGCTGTGCAGACAAATAATTAATTCATTCAACCTTTATTTATACAGGTTAGTCTCACTGAGCCACGAGCACTCGTTTACAAGAGAGGCCTGTTTTAAACAAAGAACACAGATGAAATGAAATTAAACTGAAGTCCATACTGTCCAAAAGTCAACTTGGGACAATAATACATGCTTTCATAACATCCAGGCTTAATTACTGCAATGCACTTCTGTTTGGAATCAGTCAGACCTCCATCGCATGATTACAACTGGTCCAAAAGGCTGCAACCTGATTTTTAGCCACAAAAGAGATCACATTACACCAGTTCTGGCCTCCCTGCACTGGCTCCCTGTTCACTTTCAAATTCATTTTAAAATCCTTCTGTATGTTTTTAAATCTCTGAACAGTTCTGTACCCTCCTATCTCGCTGATCTGCTGCAGCCATATCCCACAGCGCTCTCTGAGGTCAGCAGGCCAGATGATTTTACGGGTTCCAGTAACCTGTCTTGCAAAACTGTGGAATGAGTTACCACTGCATGTCAGGCAGTCCCCCTCGCTTACATTTGAAAACCCACTTTTATTCACTGGTTTTTGACACTGTGTGATTTTAACTTGTCTGTAATTTACTCTAAGTTAATCACTGTTAAAACATTCATACTTTTTAAAAATATTAAAAAGTGTTTGTAAGTGTTTGTAAGTGTTTTAACCTGTCTGTGTTCTATGTTAGCTATTTATTTAGTTATATTTTCCCATTCAGATCTATGTATTTTATTCTGAGTCCTTTGCTTGTTTTGTTTCTGCTGTACAGCACTTTGGTTGGCCTTGCTGCTGTTTAAAGTGCTTTATAAATGGTATGGTATGGTATGGTATGGTATGGTATGGTATGGTATGGTAT